ACCCACTCCTCTTTCTTCCCCTCTCCTTCACCCCTCATCCTCCCTCCTCCCCTCTTTTCACACCCTCCTCCTTCTCCTCCTCCTGCTCTCCTTCACCCACTTTCTCCTCCTCCCTCTTCCTTCTCTCCTCCCTCTGCTCTCCCTTCCCACCTCACTCACCCTCACCATCTCCTACCCCTCCTCCCTCCCTCTCCTTCATCCCTCCTCCTCCCCTCACCTCAATCCCTCACCTCACTCCTCTTCCTCCCCTTCCTTCACCCTCATTCCCTCCCTCCTGCTCTCCTTCACCCTCACTCACCCTCACCATCTCCCTCCTCCCCTCTCCCTCTATCTCTCTCCTGCTCTCCTTCACCCTCACCATCTCCCTCACCCAACACCCGCCACAGCTCAAAGACATGACACAGTCTTTGTATTCCTTCGCTGAAGCAACACTTCATCCAATATCTTTTATCTTCGGACTTTTCTTTCTCCTTCAGTCGATGATATGCCTTGTTTTTTTAGGTCTGACATGAGAGTGAATTGTTTTTTTTCTTTTAGAGATGAATTTGCTCTTTTTGAGTGTAATTTCATGTCGGTTTTATTTCAAAATTTGCATGCGTGGAAAGTTTTTTTCTTTTTCTTTTTTTTTTCTCTTTTCTTTTCTTAAGGATTCCGCTTCCTCTGTTTTATGTATATTCGTGTTTGTGTATGAATAGTATAATACAGTATATCAGTATATACTTATAAGCATTTTCTTTTCTTTTTCTAATGATTCCACTTTCTGTCTTATGCATATTCGTCTTAGTTGTTTATAAATAGTACAATACAGTACATAATTTTTTTTTTTTCGAATAGCTTGTACAAAGTGAGTTACCCCCCCCCCCATCAGCTCAACTAATATTAACTTATTTACATTCTCACCAATGTTGTTTTTTCTCGTGCACAATCCTTTTCATAATTTTCATCATCAACTTTATCTAAGAACAGGCAATAGACATGTCGCTATCAATTCAATATTGTTTTATTTTTCTTATATCTTACGTGTTATTTGAAGAAATCATTTGACGTTGTTTTCTTTTCTCCCGTTTTTATCACGGATGAATATTCTGCTTCGTTTCTGAATTCCTTTCGTTTCGGCTTCTTAGTGGCAACTCTGTCTGTCTGTCTGCCTCTCTCTCTCTCTCTCTCTCTTTCACTTCTCTCTCTCTTCTGTCTGTCTCTCTCTCTCTCTCTCTCTCTCTTTCACTCTCTCTCTCTCTCTCTGTCTGTCTGTCTGTCTGTCTGTCTGTCTCTCTCTCTCTGTGCCTATACACATAAACACAACACAGATGTATATATATGTGTGTATGTGTGTTGTGCGTGTGTGTATGTGTGTGTTGTGTGTGTGTGGTGTGTGTGTGTGTGGTGTGTGGTTGTGTGTGTGTGGTGTGTGTGTGTGTGTGTGTGTGTGTGTGTGTGTGTGTGTGTATGTGTGTGTGTGTGTGTGTGTGTGTGTGTGTGTGTGTGTGTGTGTGTGTGTGTGTGTGTGTGTGTGTGTGTGTGTGTATGTGTGTGTGTGCGCGTGCGTGTGTGCCTGTGTGATGAAGCCCAGTATGGTATTTTCAGCGCCAGGACCAAATAATAGAAATTAACGCAAAGACTTTCATTGCAATGCGTGTCGGCGTTCAAACTAGTTTTTAAGCTCCTTCGCCTTCCCCTTGGCAGCTGGTTTCACCTTTTTTTTTTCTAATGGGGGGGAGGGGAGGGGGGGGAGGGGAGGGTGGTTGGCGACATTCTATACTGAATTTCTATCGACGTCGTAGTTACCATGGATCCCTTTCTTTTCTCTGGATTTCTTATTTCTTATTCTCTGCTTTTATCGAGTATATCGGTTCGTAAGGGTGATTCGGCCTGACATCGCTATTGCAGTTTAACCCCTTTACCATTATTAATACGTTCTCCACACCGCCCATCTTCAAGACCATAAAGACGACCTACTTACCTGGCAGAGACGCTTCTGGAATCTCCCATAACATCACGAAATACCAACAGCAGTAGCTTTCGGCATCCAATAACAAAAACAACAACAAAAACAACAACAAAAACACGTCATTACCATCGGTCATGGCACGATGTCAGGCAAGCCGGTGTAACAGCGCTTGTCTATCATGGGAAGAACTGTTAACTTGACCTCCAGCTGTCTGTATGTGCTCGAATTTGGGACACTTTTTTCCATTCTGTGAAACCTATGGTAGGATTTTTTTTCTATCGCTGTGATAAGGGTGTGATAAGAAGGGTGTGTTCCATCCGTAGTGGTGAAGTTTTGATAGAAATGTGAGAATAGGCTTCAGTTCTAACTCTATGTCGACTTCTTATCACGGAGCAACGAGAACAAGAACGGAAGCAAACGCGAAACGAATAAAAAAAAAAGCGAAAACAAACAAAGAGCTTTCGGATGCATAGCTGTTAACTTTCACTACAAATTTCACTTAGTAGTCCATGCCCCCATGCCCCCATACCCTCCACCGCCGCCCCACGCTCCCCCCGTGAATGGAGAACTCACCCCTATGCCTACCAGGATGAGAATGACGGAGCGAGAATTTTCCAGGTTTGGGCCGGTTCTCGAATCAGCTGGCCGGTTCTCGAATCAGCTGATCCAGGCTCGAGGTGGCCTTCTCGAGAGCAGGGCGGATCTCGCCTCTGCAATGTTTATAATGATTGGCGTCATTGCAGAGTGATTATGATGAGAGAAAAAAAAAGAGAAAAGAGAAAAAGGAAGCGAAAAGGTTGCTTGTAAGGGTGAATTCGAGATAAAGGGGAGTAGAGGAGTGAGAAAAGCGGAAGGGGCATGAATAAAGTTTGGTAAAATATGTAATACTGTTATGCTGGAAAAAATGAATACTTGTATTGTTGGTAATATCAATTAAAATAATTTCTGAAAGTCACATCAAGGCAATCATGTGTTTTGTTATAAAAAGCTGTGGTTGTGATCGTGGCAATTATGTAGATAATAACTTTCATGATAAAAAAAAAAAAACAGTAGCTAGTAAATACAACTACTTTATGATATGATGAGCGTAGTAGTACAAGCAATTATAATAATATTGGGAATAATGGTAATAATGATAAGTTTGTAATAGTTACAACAGCAGTATAATGACAACAGCAATGTAGTACTAGAATTATACTTCTATTATTGATGATAGTTACAAATACGGTGCTGATAAAAGTAATGATAATAATAAAGATGATAAGGTTAATAAAATGATAATTATTACTACTCCATTACTATATTACTTATGATATAATATAGTTTATGATAGCAATAATGATGATAATAATCATGACAATAGCAATAATGATATAGATAATAACAGTAATAATAACCATGATAGTAACAATGATGATGATGATGATGATAGCAGTGGTAATAATAACAATAACGATATTAATGACAATAATGGTAATGATGATAATGATTATGATATTAATAATATTAATAATAACAAAATTAATATAATTATAATAATGACAGAAATAGTAACAATAACAATAATAGCTATAACAAAAATAACAGTATCAGTAATCATCATTATCATGCTAATGATAATGAAGATAATAAAAATAAAATAATGATGATGATGATGATGCTGATGATTATGATGATGATGATGACAATGATGATGATTGATGATGATGATGATATGATGAATAATAATAGTAATATGATATCATAATAGTATTAAGAAATAAGAATAAGAAAAAGAATATCAATAATAAAAATGGCAATGATAACAATAATAATAATAGTAATAATAACAATAATAATAATGATAACAAAAATGATAACAAATATAATAATGATATCATTAATAGTAATAATAATTGTAATGACAATAAAAACAATAAGACAATAAAATAATGACAAGAAAACAATAAGTAGTGACAATAAAGTGATCCCAATGACAGTGACAGTCATGATCTGGCCAACAATAGAGAGTATTGTCGACATTGTTATTCTTTGGTCATAAAAAATATGCATACATCATTTGAAACCTTTGTTGTTTTATTGTTTATTTTCTGAGCTTCTGGAGCAGAGGTTTTGAAAGTCTAAATAATGTGTGTGAAATGTTTGCACACTTTTGCAGCGTCAGGGGAAGAAAGTTTGATGATTTGGATAACCTAGAAATCAAATTAAAGAGGGAGACGTTGCATGACTGATGAATATTGCTTTGGAATAGGCCTTGGGTGACATTTTTTTTATTATTGTTTTTAATAAGAGAGTTACGTAATTGCAGAACAATACGTTTATGTGCGTGTGCTAGTCATCGTGTATGCGAGACACACACACATAAACATGCACATCAACGCACACAAACAGACATAAACGCAAACTCATAAACACACACACACACACACACACACACACACACACACACACACACGCACGCACCATACATACACACGGGCGAGCGAGTGTAGGTGAGTGAGAGGGGCATGAACTCTTACATAACGAGGCGTACTGACAACCGCCTTTTCAGTATGTAATTGAGACGCCGCCGTACTTATCTTGAGGTAATTGGGCGCAGTGAATTCTGTCTGATCATCAGAGTTTACAAATTGCGTGTTAATTTCATGTTCCATGATTTTCAAATAATAATCTGTGGTGGTGTCACGTTCCTTTTGGTGTCTGGGCAATATGCAACAGCCGTTGATTTTCGTTGCAAAATGATTAGTAAATCTGCAGGACGAAGTATAAGAACTATTTTTGCGAAGGGTGCGAGGCATAGCCCCTCCGTTTCACAACAGGCTCGCAATTACTATGAGCTGCACCTGCAGTGCTTAAGGAACTGTCGCAGTTGCAACATGGATTTCAAAACTAACGAATGGAAATTTTAGTTTAACGACGTCTATCTCGCCGATGACATATACATATACGTTTTAAAGCAACACATCGCAGCTTGTGTATGTATGAGCAAGCATGCGAAGATTTTACCTAGACCCTGTCTTAAGGAGCCGCTGACATTGCACTATGAATAGTAATGGCTGGTAACAAGCAGCAGGTTGTCCACTGGAATGAAGGCAGCGGACCCGCCGTGGCCATAACTGGTGTGGCGTGGCCCCGCCGGTGGCCACGACGGGCGCTGGCCAGAAGTGAGAGTAGGTATAAGAGGCGGCGCGGGAGTCGCGGGCCTCACTGGGTCGACGGCGCTCCAACACTGCGGATTTCTCGCCCTTGTCACGTCCCCCGCGTTGCCGCTTCTCTCTCCGCGCGGCCAGGTGCTGGTCGTCGTCCGTGGCTGTCAGTCTCCTGCCTCTCCCGCCTTAGCTCCGCCACGATGATGGTTAGTGACGCTCTAACTCTGTGACGCTGGAAGGGTGTAGCTAGCCGGCAGAGCACGACTTGGGGAAACGTCCCTCGGCCTCCGTGTGTTGCTGCCGTTTATGGAAAGGAAACGCTAGTCAGACCAAGTGAAAAGCAAGTGTTGAACGTGTGTGTCAGATCCCAACAGAAATTCAGAGCTCGTGATATGCAGAGATGCGCGTGGCTCACAGGTCAGGCGTTTGCCGGCAACAGATATTACCCTACTTGTCAAATACACTAAAGTAGAGGTATCTCTGTCCAGAATAGGGAGAGAGAAGGTGTTTTGTGGACACAGAAGAAGTAAGGTGATAAAAACGAAAGGGTAGTGGTAAAGTAAATCAATCAGCTCTAACATAAGATTTGAATCAAGACCAAAATTGCAAATTTGGCTACCCGTATGCATGTCAGTTGCCAGTTACTATTATCGCCTGTGTAGCTTCCTGAAACGACACCAGGAAACAGAACACATTTCATTCAGTGTAGCCCTCTCTGTGTCTGCACATGCGGCACGGTGGGGTACAGTGCAAGCATGAGTGTGTGTGTGTGTCTATGTGTGGGGTCACTTCTGAAAACACGTTTTTTTAGGGTTTAGTCAAATGTTTTGACATGGCAAAATAAAAGTGCTCTAGAGACATGCAGTAACGTTCAATGTTGATAACCTCTATTTTAGAAACATTTTCCAGTCCATGAGAGTTTGAAGCTTAAGATAATGTTATTTGGTCATAGGCCCTACATTAGATTTTCCAGTAACAGAAGAAAAACATTAAATTTCTCAAAAAATAAAATACAAATGAATGTTAGCTGTATGAGAAAATATATCATGTATAAAAGGTATAAATGAGAATGAATATCTTCACAATGCAAGCTATACATTCATTGCACTGTGAAGATGTTAATGATCATAGACCACATGTATTTGTGAGTAACCCAGGGAGGAAGGAGGCAGAGATTCCATGCAATCCTGTGTAATTGTGTATGCGTGGGTGGTTTTATCTCAGTACCTGTCTGTGTAGTGTGTACAGTCGTTTATGTGCTTTAATTATTCGATATATGTGTGTGTGTGTGGTGTGTGGTGTGTGTGTGTTGTGTGTGTGTGTGTGTGTGTGTGTGTGTGTGTGTGTGTGTGTGTGTGTGTGTGTGTGTGTGTGTGTGTGTGATTTCTAGTCACATATTTTCTTTCTTTCTGCATCATAGTTCCTCAACTTCTGTCTTTATATAAGTCTAATAAGATTGTTTATCTATCTCCCTATTTTTTTCTTCCTCTGTTCTCTTCTCTTTCTCTCTCTCTCTCTCTCTCTCTCTCTCTCTCTCTCTCTCTCTCTCTCTCTCTCTCTCTCTCTCTCTCTCTCTCTCTCTCTCTCTCTCTCTCTCTCTCTATCTCACTTGTTAGCTCGCTCTTTATCTCCTTTTCCCTATATGTATTTTTCACTTTTATCCCTTCCCTCTTTCTTTCTTTCCGACCTTTGTAAGCATTAAAAGAAATAATATAATCAAATCCATCTGTTTCCCCAACTATCGGTTAAGCAAACAATCAAGTAATCACCCTTCCTCTGTCCATCTATGGATACCTCACACACACACACACACACACACACACACACACACACACACACACACACACACACATATATATATTATATATATATATATATATATATATATATATATATATATATATATATATATATATATATTGAAGGTGGAATATGTACTAGCGCATTGATATGAATACATAACCTCTCCGATTGGGACTCGAACCGTCGCCGTTGCAGGCAGGTAACTGCAAGACGAACGCTCTACCACGGAACTAGTGGAGCGTTCGTCTTGCAGTTACCTGCCTGCAACGGCGAGGGTTCGAGTCCCGATCGAAGAGGTTATTTACTCTATATATATATATATATATATTATATTACATATATATACATACATACACACACACACACACACACACACACCACACACACACACACACACACACACAACACATATATATATATAATATATATAGTATATATATATATCATATATATATATATTAATATTATATGCGAGCCATATATATATTTTTTCAAGCATATACCCAAGTATAATGGCATAACATAAATGCCATTTAGGTATATATTTATATTTTATAATTTTAGATTTATACTCATCATATTAATATCTGGATACACTGAGCTTCAGAATACCTTCAGAGTGATCCGCTGTGATGGGGGCTGAGGGTATGCTCTGGGTATGACAATATCTGACTCACATTGGTATATAGATCGAAATGCTGATAGCAATGCCAAGGCTACTTTCTTCATGTAACTGAATTTATTTATCAATTAGTTATTAATTTTAATAATGTAACTGAATTAATTTATCAATTAGTGGTGTCAGGGAACTTAATATTGCGGCTGCATGATCCTTCGCAGTAGTTTCCAATATTTCTCGATTTTAATATTTAGCGATAATAATACGATTCTCTCTCTCTTTCTCTCTCTCGTAATATTTTGCTGTTTAACTTTTTTTCTTTCGCTCCTCT